GCCCCATCTCCTACCCCCTCCCCCCAAACCCTCACCTACCTTCTGGCCCTTGGGGCCCACCACACAGATCTCTCCAGGTCGGCCCTGCCAGGGGGAGAGCAGGGGTGTGAAGGCTCCACGTGTGCAGTGCTGTGCACCCCACGGGGCAGTTGGTCCTGGGGACAGACCCCATGCCCAGGGGGTGCCCTGTACCCCCTGGCACTACTCACATCACGCCCAGGGCGCCCCGGCTTGCCCTGAAGTCCTCCATCACCCTTCTCACCCTTCTGGCCCTGTGGGACAAACAGATGTCACCCATGGAGTCACATCATCCATGCTGGCCAGGTTGGCACCATCTGGTCCTGGCATCTCTGCTGCTATGCCAGGAACCACAGAGCAGGTGTCCCTGCTGCAATGCCAGGAGTCATGGGATGACTGGACTCACCTTCTGCCCATCAGTGCCAGCTGCTCCTGGAAATCCCTGCATGGGAACAGCAGGAAAAAGTGGATACTCATAGGTGGGGTCATGCAGGTGCCCATGGATGGGCTCATGCAGGTGCCCATGGATGGGTTCATACAGATGCCCATGGATGGGCTCATGCAGCTGCCCACGGGTGGGCTCTTACAGGTGCCCATCCATGGGTCCATACAGGATTCTCCTCCAGCTCCTTTCATCCCCCACCACCCACCCATGGAGCTGGACCCTCATGTCCCAGCTCAGGGTACGTGAGCCACATGAGGAGATCACAGCCATGTCCCAATGGCTGAGCATCACTTACCACCTCTCCACGCTGCCCCTTCTCACCCCTTGGCCCCTCAGCACACTGGGGAGGAGGAGGAGGAGGATGTGAGCAGGGCAGCAGAGATGAGGAGGGGGATACACAGAGGGTTAGGGGGGGTCTCACCTGCACGGGGCCACCAGGGTGGGTACGCACACAGTCAATGCCCTGGGAGGAGGAGGAGGCAGCTCAAGGGCTCTGTCAAGGCTGGGGAGCCATGGGGAGCTGCAGCACCCCCAGGGCAGCAGGAACCCCACAGGGAACAACCCCTGAGCAGAGGAATCCCCACCCAGGATGTGGTCAGGGACACTCACACGGTCGCCTTTCTCCCCCTTGATGCCAGCAGTGCCAGGGAGGCCACGCTCACCCTTGGTGCCCTGCAGGAGAGGGGAGGGGAGGGCGACAAAACAGGCACAGGTACTCCCATCTCCATGTGTGTGTGCCCACAGCTCCAGGAAGGGATGCTCCAGGCACAGCTGAGGGTCTGTGTGACCACATCCCTGCTGGAACTGAGCTCTGGATGTCCTGGGGGTGACAAACCTACCTTTGGACCTGAGGGACCAAGTGTGACCTGGGGAGAGAGGAGAAAGTTGTTCCAGATCCCCCCCAAGGGCTCCAAAGGGCAGCAGGAGAGCACCAACCCCACCATGGTCCCAATCTCCCAGCATCCTGTCCCCAACTGCCACCCCAGGAGCCCCATGGGGCGTGTGGGGTCCCAAACACCCACCAAGCCCCCTCCTCCAGTTGTTGTAAGAATGGGGCCACATCTGGAAGGGATCAGACACCTTCCCTGCAGCCAGATGTCACAGGGCTCTGAGCCAAGAGGATCTGCAGTCCTGGGGGGCTGATGCTGATGGCAGAGTGGTGGGTGACACCCCTTACACCCCTGGTGGCTTTTGCCATCCCCAGCTCACAGCCCAGCCTGGCCAGGTCAGGGCTGCCATGTCCTCCCAGCACAGCCCAGTGCTGCCCAGTACCACACTCACGTTTGATGGTGCCATCTGTGCCGAGCAGGGTGGGCACTGGAAGAGACAGGGATGGCAGCTTGGATCTGCTCCATGGCACCCCAAACCCTACAGCACCCGCACCCCCTTGGCCACTGCCCCACTCCCCTGGGCACCCCACACCTGTGGGGCTCCCCCAGCAGCGTCTCTGGCCAGCACTGGGGGGCACAGGGGATGCCTGGCATGGAGAAGGGAAAAGCCACCGTGTTTCCTCCCTGGGGAGCTGAGGAGGTGCTGGCCTGGCACTCTGCTCTCCCTGTGGCTTTGTGGCTTGACCACAGCTCCACCAGACCAAACCAGCCATTCCAGCCTGCTCCCATGGGATTGGGGATGGGCAGGACCCTGTGACCCCATGGCTCACAATCCACACTGCTGGACCTGATCAATACCCCATGGATCCTCAGCATTATCCCACCAGCAGCTCTGAATCCCCACGGTGGGACAAGGAACCACAGAGACATGCAGGGATGAGACACAGGAGCACTGGAGACACTTCCCAGCTCTGGCAGTGCTCCGAAGACGCTCAGAAGGAACAAAGAGGCCCTTGGCCATGGCTGGGATTGCTCCAGCAGCAGCAAAGACTTAGTGGGGCCTCAATTCCTGCTCGGGGGAGCAGAGCAGACACTACTAAAGGCATCTCTGCCACTCTGGGAACAGCAGAAATTTTCCAAATGCCGTGGAGGCAGACTCAGATAGGGGTGGATGGCACCAGTGAGAGGAAGGGAAGTGGAGCTGGGCATGCCAGGACCAGGACAGCTAGGATAGGACACACTCTCCACTTCCCCTCACCTTGTGATCTTCCTTCAGGCTGCTCCTTCCCGAGGTTCTCACTGGCTCCTGTGGAGAAAGAAGAGCACCCCTGGGTGTTCCCTCTCCATGTATCCTGGGTTATCCTGCCCCATGGATCAGCTGGTGCAGATGATGGAGCTCCAGGATCCCTCCCCTCCCTCATTCCCAGGTCACCACCAGCTCCCTCCCTCCCCTGTTGTGGTGGAAAAAGTGAGGCAGGGATTTTCCAAGGGCTGGATCAACGTGGTTGCTGGCTCAGCATGGCTGGCTGGGAGCACCCTGTGCCGGGACGGGGAGTGGGATGGAGAATGGGATGGGGATGGGGAATGGGATTGGAGCTCCAGGATCCCTCCCCTCCCTCATTCCCAGGTCACCACCAGCTCCCTCCCTCCCCTGTTGTGGTGGAAAAAGTGAGGCAGGGATTTTCCAAGGGCTGGATCAACGTGGTTGCTGGCTCAGCATGGCTGGCTGGGAGCACCCTGTGCCGGGACGGGGAGTGGGATGGAGAATGGGATGGGGATGGGGAATGGGATGGGGATGGGATGGGGTGGGGCTGCTGGAGCTCACAGTGCCCAGTGGCTCCTCCAGGCAGAAGCAGCGAGTGTACACACGACCCTCAGCCTGCGGTGAGATCTCGATGAGGTTACTGCTCTGCATCAGCTCCGCCTGCCGACGGGTCTTGGGCACTTCTGTCTGACACTGCAGGGAGAGAAGGAGCTCGTGGGGAGCTCCTGGGGTGACCACCAGGAGCCCAGTCCTGCCTGAGCACCTGGTGTGACTCAAGGGATGGACCCTGCTGCCCATGGGGACAGACACCACGATGTCACCACAAACAGATGACCCACAGAGAGCTTTGACCTCACCATGCCTCAGTTTCCCCTCTGGTGAGAACCCTGACCACGCACAGGGCAATTCCAGTGCTCAGCTGGGACTGGGAGCTTAGGGGAACTCACCCCACTGGCTGAGATCTCACAGCATCCCTCCTGCCTGGCCAGCTCGGCATCACAGTAGATCTGAGCTTGTTGGATGTCAAACTGCAGCAGGACAGAGTGACAGGTCAGGGATGGCTCCAGCACCACATGGAGAGCTGCTCTCCCCCCACGGGCACTCACCCTGATCGGGGTGCCACGCACAGCATCCAGCCCCAGGAAGGTGTTTCCCTCCAGGATCAGTGCCCGCCGCGGTGCCAGCGGTTTGGAGGAGATGGAGGCACAGTCAAGGTGGATGGACACAGAGTGGCTCTGCACAGCCACCACCACCTTGTGCCACCTCCCATCGAAGAGAGATGCCACAGCCTTCCCCGTGAAGACAGCGCTGGCAAACGTGGTCCCCAGAGCCCTGGCCTGAAACTCCAGGCTCTTCTCAGGGCCGTGCACAGACAGGGAGAGCTGGGCACAGAGGGGACAACACCACGCTCAGGGACAGCTTCTGGCTGTCCCCTCACTGCTGGAGCATCCTGCTGCATCCCCAGGGCTGTACCTGGGGGTATCCCTGCTGGTCGGTGATCTGGAAGAGGTACCAGTGCTCCCCAGTGCTGTTCTTCTTCAGCAGCAAGGTGAGGATGAGGGTGAAGGTGGGGGGCAGCCCACGGGGAAACACCTGCCTGCAGGGAGAGGTGTCAGGGGTGACTGGATCCTGCACCAGCCACCAGTGTTTGCACCTCCATCCACATGGCACCACCCCAAGAGTCCCCCAAAGGGAGGTCTGTCCCAATCAGTGCCACCCCAGATGCCACCGTGGTGGATTCAGCACCTGGAGCTGTTTGTGCCTTGGCTGGGAACACAGACTGTGGCTGCTGGAGACACCAGCACTTATGGAACAGGAGCAGAACATGAGACAGACAGCAGAGATGTTTGTCCCCATCCCAGGGCAGCGTGGGGAGCTCAGATGAGCCCCCCAAAGCTCACCCTGAATCTCTCACACTGCTTGGACACTCAGTGGAGGGGACTGAGCATCCCCCTGCACGAGGACAGCCCAGTCTGGCCCAGCACCCCCAGCACCATCCCCACCCCTGCACCCCAAACACAGCTCTCCTGGGGTGGCTGCAGCACCCAGGACCACGCACTCATCCCCACAATATCCAATTTTGTTCCTGGGAAGCCAGGAAATATATCCATCACCTCACAGGCTCCATGGACTGGATGGCAGCAGTTCCCTGGTGGGACTGTTCCCAGTTTGCCCACAGCCCACTAAACCATTGGAAATATTTGCTCTGGGCTCTGCTCTGCTCCCAGCCTTGGCTCCATGCCAGTGATTTTCCAAGCCACTGCTCTGGAGTTCGACTAAGGGATGAGGAGCAGGACAGAGCTGATGGTCCCCTCTGCTCACTGTGGGACACAGGGACATCCTAACTGGGCACTGAGGTGGATGTGCACCCATGAGTGCCCACCTGGAGCTCACAACTTGAGTGCTGGGGCCTCCCCTGTGTTCAACCTGAGGCTGGATCTGGGATGCCACGGGCACACAGCCAAGAGCAACACCAGCCTGGAGCCTCTGCCATCCTGAAACCATCTAAGAATTTGGCTGCCCAGGTCCAAGGCTGTGTCTCCTCAGCCTCAGGAGAGCCCTGTGCCCAGCACAGCTGCATGCCAACCCCGAGGCAATGTGGGGACAGGCTGGAGGAGACAGTCATGCAAAACCACAGCAGCTTCCTCCAGGAAAAAGCTCCCAAGGATGTGGATCTGCTCCCAACTCGCCACGCTGCAGCATCCCTTCCAGCCCTGGCACCATGGCAGGATGATCATGGGCACAGCTGGGCAGGACACATTGGAGACAGAGAGGACAAGTCTCTATGTGGCTCCCCCAGCAGACCCTCAGAGCCCCCACAAACCCAGCAGTGCCTGCTCAGAGCTGTGCAGCATTTCGAGCTTGTCTAGACCCAGGGAAAGCCTGCCAAGTGCAGCCACAGAGCAACCACAGAGCCCTGCTTGCGTAAGGTTTGGCCACCACCCAGCCAAGCCGTGGCAGCCCGTGATTTACTTTCTAGGAGGAAGGTGCGTGGGCAGCACCAGGGTCCTCTGTGTCCCCCTGGGTGCCACGGAGCTGCCTGGTGTCCCCAGCATCAGCTAAGGGCAAAACACACTCAGCTTCACCCAGGCTCCTTCCTTACAACATGTGGGGATTGTGCCTGGAGGAGCTTTGGTCAAACAGTCACTGCATGGGTCACCCAGGGACATCTCATGGGTCACCCAGGGACATCTCATGGGTCACCCAGGGTCACTCCATGGGTCACCCAGGGTCACCCCCTGAGCCCCTCACACTCACTGGGTGGGCTGGACCAGGGGCACAGTGCCCAGTCGCAGCACTTCTGGTCCCCGGGGGTTGCGAACCTTCTTGATGGATGAGATCTTCAGCAGGTCAAACCTTTTAATCAGGTTAAAACCTGCAGGACAGAGCAGAGGAGGTGAGACCTACCCCTGGCCCAAGCTGACAATTCCCAGGCAGGGCACAGAGCCCATTCCTGGAGCATCAGGGCTGTGCAGGGACCTTATTTGCAGAGCAAGAGAGGCTTTCCTTACCCGTTATATTCTCATACTTGTCCCCAACCAGATCCTCATCCCAGAGCTGTGGGCACAGCTTCCCTGCAAGGCAAATCAGCACATCATTGTCACTGCAGTGTCCCCAGAGCCATGGTGGGACAAGCAGTGTGGGGTCACACAGAGCTCCCCAAGTCCAGGAGGTGCTCAGGGTGCTGCCAGGAGCTTGCCCTGGCCCCTCAAGGCTGTTGGTAGCCACAAGACAGCACAGATCTGCTCCCAGGGCAGCACCAGCTTCTGTGAGCCAGGAGAATTGAAGCTGAAGGCCTTCAGGAGCAGTTTGGAGGGGATAGAGCTGGCCCTGCTGTCTCCCACATCAAGTTCACCAGGTGAAATGCTTTTCCCAGTTCCTACATGTTTTGCCTCAAAACAGCCCCATGGCTGGAATCAGCATCAGGAGACTTAGATGAGTGTTGTGGACACATAAGGTGAGGAGATGGCACCTAGAGCTGCTTGCTCACTGCCCCTCCTGTCCCATCCTGGTGGCAGCTCAGACCGGGGGACAGAGGGAGGGAGTGGTGAGAGGTTGAGCTGCAGGAAATGCCGTGTCAGCCGCGGTCACGGGGAGCTGCTGCTGTTTGCTCCTTGAGCGGATAAATTACTGCTCTCAGTCCACCTCCGCTGGATGCACCAGATGTTGGGAGGTGTGAGATAAGGGAGGAAAACAAGAGGGTAGGG